CAAGTAGATTTTAGTTTATTTCTGTCCCTTGAATGGATTGGCTCCTGACTACGCTTTAAGATGGACTAGCAAGACATCGACATGATGGGTAGTCAGGAAAAGGAACGACTGGCACATGAGAGGCTTTTAAAGGTGTGATATCAAGTGTCTGGGGACAGTATGTCCCTGTTAGAGTGAAGGGAAAAGCTGCAGGTTTGGGGATCCCTGGCTGATGAGGGATTTTGAGGCTCTGGTCAGGAAAAAGAAGGCAGCATATATTGGGTTTAAGCAATTGGGCTTAATTGAATCCCTAGATGACTATAAAAAGTCACTTAAGAGGGAAATCAGAAGAGCAAAAAGAGGGTATGAAATGGATCTGGCAGATAAGGTTAAAGATAATCCCGGGAGATTCTATAGCTATAGGTAGTTCTCCTATAACATGATACTTGCGTTCTTGCATGACCTCGCATTATAGAAAATCACGTTATAGGGAAATCGCCATAGAAAAATTCCTATACCTGTACAGCAGAAAGTTCACATTATCCAAATAGTGTCCACTATTCGTCAATCTCGTTGCAGCCAATTCACATTAATGAAACACATGTTAAAGCAGAACTACCTATATATTAAGAGTAAAAGGGCGACTAGGGAGAGAATATATCCCCTTAAAGATTAGCTGTCTATGTGTGGAGCCACAGGAGATGGGGATGATTTCTAATGAATATTTCTCCTCAATGTGTACTGAGGAGAGGATCATGGATGCTAAGGAAATAAGGGAAACAAGTGGGAATGTTTTGGACTGCATACATTACCAGAGAGGAGGTGTTTACATTAAAGCGCATTAAATGTGGATAAATCCCTTGGGCCTGATCAAGTCCATCCTCGGATGTTGTGGGAGGCTAGGGAAGAAATTGCAGAGGCCTTTGCAGAGACTTTTGTTTCATCTTTAGCCGCTGGTGAATTTCCAGAAGACTGGAGGGTGGCTAATGTTGTTCCATTGCTTAAGAAAGGTAGCAAAGACAAGCCAGGGAACTACAGGCCAGTGAGCCTGACATCAGTGATAGGCAAGTTATTAGAGACAATACTGAGCAATAAGATCAACCAACATATGGGTAGTCAAGGTCTGATTAGGGATATTCAGCATAGATTTGTGCGAGGGAAGTCATGTCTGACAAATCTTTTAGAGTTTTTCGAAGAGGTAACCAAAAGGATAAATCAGTGTAGGGCAGTGTTGGCTATATGGACTTTTGTAAGGCCTTTGACAAGGTCCCAAACAGCAGACTAGTCATTAAAGTTAGGTCACATGGGATCCAAGGACAGTTAACTAATTGGATTCAAAATTGGCTTAATGGTAGGAAGCAGAGGGCAATGGTTGAAGGTTGTTTCTCAGACTGGAGGCCTGTGACTAGTCATGTGCCACAGGGGTCGGTGCTGGGTCCTTTGTTATTTGTTATCTACATAAATTATTATGGATGTGTACGTACAAGGCATTGTTAGTAAGTTTACGGATGATACAAAATCAGGAGGTATCTTCGATAGCGAAGAAGGTTATCAAAAATTACAGAGGGATCTTGATCAGAGGGGGAAGCGGGCTGAGGATTAGCAAATGCAATTCAATACAGATACCTGTGAGGTGTTGCACTCTGAAAAGTCAAACCAAGGTGGGACTTATACAGTAAATGGTAAGGTCCTGAGGAGTGTTGTGGAGCAGAGGGATCTAAGTACATAGTTCATTGAAAGTGGTGTCACAGGTAGACACGATAGTGAAGAAGGCATTTAGCATGCTGGCCTTC